AAATAGAATAAAATAAGTCTCTCTTACATTCAAGAACTGCAAAACATCAAGCATTTCAAACAGGAAAAACATGAAGTTCAAATGTAAAATATATTGACAACCATAATATATCTACTGAATAATAACAAAGAGGAAAATTGATGCTGAATAAATATACAACTAAACTCACTTATAGAAGGTAATAATGCCAAATAAAAATTTAGCACCCAGTTGAGCACTATTTATAAGCAATATATAACCTTCCCAGAATTACTTTGGAATCTTCAGCTAGAAGTACATCCATTCTCTTATTCCATAGCAGACTATGATCGTTTATGTTCCAAAAACTTGCTGCTTTCTAAACGCAAGTGTCACATAAATGGAGTTTAAGAACCAAAATATGTCAAAGGGTGTTCAGATTGGCAATTTTTTATGCTTTAAGCTTTTTTACCTCGAATTATGCTCATACTGTTTTAAGCTAATGCTAGGATAAACTTTTTTTTGGGTTTTAGACTCTAATAAGTTGTCAACTATTAGTATTTAAAAGTTAAAGCTAAAAGATTGGTGAGAAATGACAAAAAAAGATAATTGATTGGTCATTTTAGTTAAAAATTTCAGAACATAACTTTTAAAGTTTAACTAAGTTATTTTAATTCACAATCTTCATCAAAAGAGCTTTTCGTTTTTCATTCAAAACCTTGGGAAAAAAAATAGCTATTTTGTGCAGCTTGTTACTTTTTATTAAGAAGTCAAGTAGCTTGTAGTCATTTTAGCATGCATAAAAAATTCAGTCTTCCTTTGTTTCACTAAAACAAAAACTTTAAACCCTTTGACCAACAAAAAGATCAATTCAAGGACCCTCTACAACTGAATATATTCATTTCATTTCTTTTTTATTTCCAGGTTATTTTGACTCTTCTTTCAGGACCTTAGGAGCACCGTACAGACAACAACCTACAGTAGCACTTCAAGTCTCCCATTGCACTTACCCTCTATATGTTTTATTTCCCCTTCAATTTCTAGTCGATTTTCATTTCTACTTCACATATTAGCCTTAATATGTCCCTTTTCTCATTCAATTTCTTGTCAATTCTTAATTCTAATTCTACTATCATGCTTGAGCTACCAATTAACACCAACCCCAGCTTGAATTTCTTAGTAATAAGATCAAAGCACACCTCAAAAGATAAAACTCATGGAATAAAAACAAAGAACAATCTACAAATAGATGAGGACCCATGTTTCGTATTTTTTCTTTTCTTTTGGATAAGAATCATGAACAATCTACTTCTTTTATTAGCTAAAAAAAACAAAAAAAGAACAATCTATCTATCAAAAAGAATAAAGAATAATCTTCAGCTAACTGCATGTCAATGAATTTGAAAGTCATTGAATCCAATAAAGTGTTTTAGTTAACAAACAAACCTAGCAATGTAATCAATCTCATATCCAAGCTCAGCTTCTTCTTGTAAAGGTTCAATCCACGAGCTAACCAATGTCCGATATTTTCTGCTCAAAATCGTTGCCCTTGGGGGAATAGTTTGGTTATCTTTGGCCATTGCTTCTAAAGCTTCTAGCAACTCGACAATTCGCCCTGGCTCAAACATGATTTTTCACCAGTTTATAAGCATTAACTTACATTCTGGAAAGCAAAAGCCAATATGTACATCGAGAACCCAGCATATTCAACATATTATGCCCTTATCAGTATATCAAAATTTAGTTATCCAGAAAACTGTAAGACAGCAACTAAGAAAGAAACTACAGTTTGCAGCTATCAATATGAGAAAGAAACATGATAAAATGTAGAAAAATCATCTTTTTTTGGTACAGAATTGGAGAGTCCAATTCATCTTAATAACTCAAAAATTTTAGTTTATTAGAACATAAATAATAAAGTTATTCATTTTCTTTTTTTTCTGAAATAAAAGTATAGAAGAATCGTATTGAGAAAGACTTCAAGATGACGTCACCCATGTATAAAGAAGAATTTACAGACCTATAAGAATATCCACAATAGATCCAAAATAATCTAAGCTATCAAGATTATGACCAAGAATATTTGATCCAAAATAGTGCAGCCATTTATCTTTGATAGTAACAAAATCAGTTTCAATTCCATAAAAAATTCTATTGTTCCTCTCCTTCCAAATAACAAAGACGACAGTCAAGGGGGTAATTTGAGATGCCGGTTTTTCAATCTGATCCCTTCCCAGGCAAGAAGTTCACTCTTAACAGATCCTGCAGTGACCCAATGAATACTGAGGAGATTAAAGACAATCGACCAGAGAATCTGGGTGACAGAGCAGTATAGTAGAAGATGGTGGCAAGTTTTTATGTTCTGTTTGCACATGGGGCATCTGTTGGCAAGGCTCCACCCTCTTTTCATTAGATTGTCAAAAGTAAGGATCCGACCCTTAGTCACTTCCCAAGTGAAAAAAGCAACTCTAGGGGGGCTTTAGATTTCCAGAGAATTTTGCTGGCGAATTCAGTCGAACCAGCAGGATGGTTTACAAGAGAGTTGTAGAGGGTTCTGACCAAGAACAAACCATTCTCGCAAAGGTTCCAAGTGAGTTTGTCATCGACGTTATTGAGTGAAAAACTAGACAGTAGGTGCAGGATGTTTTCAAACTCTTCGATTTCCCAATCTTGAAGGTTTCTGTTAACAACAACATTCCATACGTGCAGATCATTAACGCCAAAAGCTTCGGAAACAAGTAGGTTCTTATTTCTTGCAATTACGAAAATCTGTGGGAAGCGGCGTTGGAAACTAACAGGACCCAACCAGACATCAAGCCAAAAACGAGCCTTATTACCTTTGCCAACCACCCAGTTTGAGTGTTTAAGGACCTCATGATAATTAAGCATGATACCTTTCCATAAACTCTGGTCAAAAACATTGTTAGCCAGAAGGGAATGATCATAAACATTATTACCAAACCATTTACAGATGATAATTTTCTTCCAAAGGCAATCATCTTCATTCCGGAAGCGTCAAATCCATTTACCGTGAAGTGCCTTGGTAAGAGCAACTAGGGAACGTAAGTCCAGACCACCATTTGTCACTGGCTTCTTTATTTCGTCCCAGCTGACTAAATGAAGTTTCCTTTTAGACTCGTCTCCCCCCAATAGGAATCAAGACTGGACGGACTCCAATTTTTTGGCAATTTTCTTAGGGATGGTAAGTACCGAGAGGTAATAAATGGGAAGGTTGGACAAGGAGCTTTTTATAAGATTTAATCTCCCACTTTTGGACAAATATTTATACTTCTAATTAGCCAATCTTTTCTGGAACATATCAATAATTCAGTCCCAACAGCCACCATCTTTATGTTTAGCCCCTAGAGGAGTACCTAGATATTTTATCAGTAAAGTTGAAGTTTTGCAGCCTAGAACCCCAGCCAGCGGAATAGAAGGAGCATTTCCAATCTCAATTAACTCAGATTTGTCCATATTGATTTTGAGCCCGGATACGGCTTGAAAGCAAAGAAGAATACATCTCATAGAAAGTAAATTGCTAACATTAGGCTGACAGAATAGGAAAGCATCATCAGTGAAGAAAAGGTGAGTTAGTTCCGTCTGATTACCATTGTTACCCACCGCAATACCATTCAGTACCCCTCTGCTTCTGGCCAGCTCGATGAGCTTGTTAAGCGCTTCCAGGACAATGAAAGTTATTCATTTTCTTATAAGTTTAAACTTTTTAACTGATTGGTCAATCAACCAAACTATTCAACATAGTATCATTAAGGTCGTTGCTTTTTTTAAGGGTGGGGGAATGGCCCGGATGGATCTCATTTTGTATTACAGGAGGACCATTGGTTAGAAGATCTCTCCTCTTTGTAAACTATTCTCATGCCTTTTTTGGTTCTCTATATGTCATTGTAATCCTATATCTTTCTTCATAACATGCCAAGATTCTCAATTTTCTCAAAGCTTTCACCTTTCTCACAACCTTAATGACAGAAAGACCTTGGATTTATCAGCATTACTTAATGTGGTTGCACTTGCATCCATAGAACTTATGATCATAATTGGATCTTTGAAATGAATATAATAAGAAACTATGAAATAAAAAAAAAAATTAAAAAAAAACTATGAAATAGAAATCTACAGCTTTCTTCAAAAGCCTATATGGGTATACTCTATCATATTATTCTCTAACCAAAATGAATAGTAAATTGAGTCATTTCTATAACTTAGCTTCTAGATAATTAGTTAACAAAATTGTTTACAAGTTGCACAAATAAAAAAAATCTAACAAACATCACATTCAAAATAGACAAATGAATTGGACAAATGAGATTCCATAAGAACATTCATGCTTATAACTAATTTTAGCTTATGTATTGTGCACAAGGAAAAAATCAAGATATATTTAAGAATGTACATCCAAGTGTTCAAGTAGATGTACAACCATACCTTCTCGACATAAAGCTCGAAGATATAAAGAAAGTGGATCCCCAAACTTTCCTTCATTGTGCAAAATGCTGGTTCCCCCCTCAAATTTTATTAGAGCACGAAAATGCCGAATGGCTTCGCGTACAACACAATACTTGGTGAAGCATTCAACTAGCAGCCTGAAAATGTAACTATTATGTTGTTTATCATAGAAAAGAAAATAAGCTGTAAAGATCTATTTAAGTAGATATTGTTATGGTAATTACCAATTAAATTAAATATCCTAAGACATTAAAGCAAAAAAATAAAAAAAGAAAAGCAAGCCTAGTTTTTTATATGCATTATGCCTATAACTTTTGTACTGAAACCCAGGAAATCCTTTCCCAAATGAAGCAAGCAAAGTGAAACAAACCAACCTTTGCGTATAGTTCCTCATAAAATGAAACCACACAGCTGAGCTTTCATCCACCCAGATCAAGTAAGAACTAACTTTGAACCCGAGAACTGCATCTATTACCAGTCATCTGAGCAGGGCCTCCAGTAAAAGATAAAATTCACAACAAAAGCCCCACACATATGAATCTGACTCTGACCTTGCTACAACTATCAACAGATTGAGAGTTGGCAAAGAAGGAAAATTTAGCATGCCACAGAAAGAAAGGCAAGGAATCCTTCTTAACACCATAAGACTTACTCAAAGACTTTTATCTCAAGTTTTCCTGCATTTTAGCAACAACTTAAGTTGGTTTGCTATGCAAAAGCCTAAGAATGAAAGGAATAAAATCCTACATATTGTCTGTATCAGCTAACAGAAGCAAACATATAAACAAAATTACTACTCCTTCAATCATTCCTCACTGTTCATTCAGAAGAAAGCTCCTAAATTAATTTAGTTTCAAATTTCTCACATGGAACAAAAGCCAAATTACTACAAGTTTTTGTAAATATGTTATACCACATCCTTTTCTTTTTGGAAGATGTACCACAAAATGATAGAAATTATCACAAATTTGCATGGTTTTCATAAAGACTTGAATAAAAGGGGGCAAGGATTTTACTTACGCATAGGTTTTCACATTAGGTTGCAAACGTTTGTGATCTTCAACCATCATGCCAAGTAATTCAGCAACATCTTGAACCCTGCAATTCATGTCAAAATCTCAAGGGCAATGGAAGGGACATGTACAGGGAACACCATAAATTTAAAACAACTTACAAACTATGCTTCAACCAGTTAGAGCGAAAAGAATTAAATGAAGTACCAAAATTGATATCATGTGAGGAACCTTACTAACTATCATAATTCCGTAATATTTGTCATAGCTCTAGGATCCTCATTTTTCCTGTTTCATCAATATCTCTTTATTAAAATGTAGATATTCTTTTTTTAATTCTACAAAATTATATATTCATCCATTCCTAAAGAAACATCTAGTGAGTTGAATGTTCCTAGTTCCCTTGTCCCATATTCCAACACCTGATGATCTTGGTCCTCTTATAGAGCCCTTTAATCATCATTGTCCTTTGTCCCTATTCCATAGGGTTGGCAATAAGCTCTGACGAGTCCCAATTTATGGAAAGTAGCTATGGATGATAAGATCAGCGCTTTGGTGATAAAAGGAAACACGGGAAACATGTTAATCCGCCCTTAGAAACCAGTAGATTGTAGATGAGTTTTTATTATAAGCCAAAAGGTGATGGAACTGTTGGCATCAGTTAGTGGCAAAGGGTTTACCCAAATGTACAGTGTTGAATACCAAGAGACGTTTCCTCAAGTCGCAAAAATAAATACAACAAGAATCTTCTCATCATTTGCAACTAATTATGACTAGGACTTGCAGCAGCTTAATGCTAAAAATATTTTTCTGCATGAAGATTTGGAGTAAAATGTCTATATAGAGATTCCCCAGGATTTATATCAAGGAGATTGAGAGTAGAAAACACTCTACAGACTAAAGCAATCTCTGGGAGCACAATTTGCCAAGTTGAGTACCGCTATGAGATGAGATGATACAGAAGAAATGGCAAAACAGAAGGGGTCTCTACCTCAAGCATTTGAGATCAAACATTTGGCCGAACTTCAGTTTCTTAGGGTGTCAAGTCGTAAAATGGAGTTTTCATCTCCCACTGCAAATATATTCTAGATCTTCGTGAAAAAGTAGGCATATTTAGTTGTAGACTGGTTGGCTCTCCCATCAGATCCAACCACACGTTGCAAGATGATGATGGTAAGTGAGTTGGGAGATTGATCTACCTATCCCACATCAACTGGATATTGTGTATGTTTGCAAGTGTGGTGAGTCATGACATGCATGAACCTCAAGAAACCATACTTTGGAGGCAATTGATCGAATTCTCATACAACTAAAGTCTACTCTTAACCTACTTTTTTTTCTAAGTATGGTCACCCTCAAAGTA